TAATCATTTATGTCTATTACTACTGTGTTCCTTTTTTTCTTGCCTGTATGACATCTTACCTTTCTTGTATCCCATTACCTCAGTACCATGTTCCCTGTGCCTTCTAAGGTGACAACCAGCAAATCTGACAATATGCCATTAGGGCAATGGGAGAAAGTCAACAGGCTTCATTCCATTCTTTAAAAAAACAAGGCTTTTTGGTCATTCAGAGATAATGATCCCTATTTGTTGTCAGATCCCAGTTGAATGAATAATGGAGGAAAACTAGCCAAAGTTATCATTTTGACAGTTGGCTCTATGAAAATGAACTAACCACTGTAATAATTACATAGATATAGCTAATAGGATGAATGTCTTTTATTATTAAATCTCTCTCCTAATCAGTGGTACTGGCCTCCCTAGGTAGGACTCTATTCTCTCCCTATCATTATGTCTTGAAACTCCCATAACTTTGTAGGTGTAATGAGAACATTTTCCCACTTAGCCTTCATATTCCCTGTTCTCTTTGCTCCCTGATGGTACTACAGCTTTTGGGAAGGTGAAAACCTGCTATAGCCATAAAGACTCTCAGCAGCTGTGATGAACAGCTAAACACACCATTGTAATAAGATGCTCTTCTCTATAGATCTCTCAGTCATAGCTAATGTACCTTCTGTGGTCTATCAGCTGTGAAGAATATTTCCTGCTGGATAGGTTCATAAAGCAAGTTTTTCAAATACCCAGGGTACTATTAACACTTTCCTAAGTTAGGCTTCAGTCTCTGTAACTCTTAGAAAAAAAATCTCTCTGCTTTCCATTCTGGAAAAAAATACATTCTTCCTGAGAAAAGGTATATTGGACCTGGAACAACCACTTCGAGACAAAACAAAACAATTTATCATGAAAAAATTAGGATAAAATATGTGGTTTTAATATTATGCTTTTTTTTAAAAAAAAATACACCTCCAAAATTTTATTGGAAAGTATCTTCTTTTGTTTTTCCATTATCATGTCAAAATGTCATTCAGCTAATGACTCTGGACTGCTAGCTGCTTTTTCCCCAGGAAGAAAAAAGAAATCTATTGTTAACCATGAATGACTGGCAAGACGAAATGGGCATAGAAGAGCAGTTAGAAATGACTGGATACATGTGAAGGTACCTCTGGGACATGTACCTTGGGTTGAGTTATTCCTTAGTCTTTCTCCCTGCTGTTCTGTATGCAGCACAGATGGGTTGGGACTCATTTTTCTGAGCAGTGAAACTGTAGATATCTTCATCTCAGCATCTTTCTAAGAATTTAAAATTGAAAGTTTCCTGCTACAATGAACACTGAACAACTTTGTTTAAATTGTGAGAAATTATGGAAGAGGAGACATCCTTTGGTACATTTTACTCTAGGCACAGGATAAATTTGAAAATAATTTTCAAAATAGTAACTATCTGGTGTCAACATGAATTCAAATGTATGGAATTGTACAAAATGAAGACAATAAAGATAAATGTCAACAAATTATGTGTCCTAGAAGTCAAGAATATGTTGACATTGATTGGTAGTGGAGACTTAATGTAATCCATTGAACACCAAAGGCTGACTTGTTTCTGAATAACTCCTTACATTATCTATTATCAACAATCAATTATGTTTTACCAAAACCCTAAGGCTTTATACAACACTAGCTCAGAAAACAAGAGATCAGAAGCAAAACAAGACAAAACAAAATATCAGCAGAGTTCTTTGTAATATTTTAGTATGCATTATCTAAAAAAAGTATTAGGAAATTAAAAATGGAAATCGGATATCCAGGGTAAATTAAGTAATTGGCAGTTTAATGTAGTGAAAAGAATGCAGTGGCTCTGGATTTGTATATTGGCTTGGCCACCCATTACCTATGTGATCTTGAAGCTCTCTGAGCCTCAATTTTCTTAAAGGTATAAGAAGGGCAATTGACCTAGATGACCTCAGAGGTCCCTTCCAGTTCTAAGTCTGTGATCTTGTGAATTACTGTGATAGAGATTTATGATATTTATAAAAGGAGAAATTAGATTTCATGAAGGCATAGTGCCTTTCTTATATAATATGTTCAGTCCTCATTCTGGAAAAGAAATGTTAAAAATGCTGTTTTGTCATCAACTGTACTCCAATATGTCTTTGTTGGTTACTTCCCAAGTATTGACTAGTAGAAGACTGCTTAATCTGTCTTGTTATCACTTTTTAATCCTACCTTCTATTGTAGAACCTCTGAAAAATATAAAGGCATGAGGGTATCGATATTCATGGATTTGTGAAAGATTTCTTGGAACTGCCTATTTCTCTAAACAGATGAAGAAGTAAGGGCTACCACATTTGAATATGAGCTACTGAAAGGAGTTATGTAGAAAATGTCATAAAATACACTCTGTCTGACTTTAAGATAAGGGTAATTCTTATTTCATTGACCAGAGTAAATGATATTCTGCCAAAGAAAAGGAAAGAGAATGAGTAATCTCTCACTTCTTCTAGGAATCTGCTTAGATAATCTCTTTTAAAAAACTTATTTAAAAAATTTTCAGTTGATTTTCTCAATGTAAAATGTGATTTTCATTGTTTTCTGTTTTATTTTATTTTGTTTTGGTTTTTTTGGAGGGTGGTTAGGACATTATGCTATTCTCCTTTGAAAATGTATGTTTATATTTATGAAGTGAATTTTTCCATACATGGACTGATCATGAGATTTGTTTTCACAATGTTGAAAATATTTCTACTAAGTAGCACCCTAAGAATTCTTTTCTTTGGGTTGCTCTGTAGTAACATTCAGTGTCCACTAATGATACAATTCTTTCCCCTGAAACCTAAGGTAAATGTTCATGGAAGGTGCAACTTTTTATGGGCCTATATTCTCTTCCTGTGCCACAGATAATTTTGGACACACGCACTATTGCGGGAAAGGGGGAAGGGGTGGAAGAGTAGAGAAGTGGATTCTCTCAGTATATTCCCATTCTGCTCACGTCCATTCAGTGCAGAAGAATTCAGTGAAAGGATCTAGTACCTTCTATCTCAAAATTAGGGTTAGGGTTAAGTCAGTTGATCTGGAACCAAAAGTATAATCTAATGATCAGGGCTGGCTAGGTATGCTATGACTCTGACACCTAATTTGTGTCTGCAGTCTCTTTATTACCCACTTATTGCATTGGATTGTAAAGCTGAATGCCAACGGTATTTCCAATTATTTTTCATTAGATGTGGCTGATGATTTTCATGACAAAGATAAAAAACTCCCATGTACAAATGATTAATTACTATATTTGGCAGAGAATTTTGGAATATAAATGTGTGTAGATTTTTTTTTTAATATAGTCTACTTCCATCATCCTACATTTTCCTATGTCCATTGTTTTTTCAACCTATAACTTATTCTTCAAGTTTCCACTCAGTTCTCACCTTTCTTCTCATTTGAGAGTCATTTGTTCTTACTGGTAATAATATTAATTCAAACATTTGTAGGATTTGTTGGTTTGGTATACAAATGCTATTTGCAAATACTAAGTATTTCATCTAGAATTATTTGAAAGTTATGAAGTAATAATATGCTTTTCAATTTATTCATTAATCAAATCTGGTTCTTCTAATCAACAAACTGAAAAAGTACTTTTTAAGTACCCACATGTTCATATTTATCTCCTCATTTGTCCAAGAATTACACATCAAAAGATATTATATACCTCAAGAGGTTTAGAAAAGAAGAAAATTCACAGGTACTACCAGGTGACAAATTCTCCCAAGGGATAGAACTGCTTGCTTTTGAAAGATTTTTTTTTTCTTTCATTTAATGAATGGCTTCAAGTCTATCTCTGATTCCTCAGCCCAGTATGGAGCTGACCTTGTGTTAAAAAGGCCTTCATCAGTGCAGTACAAGATCTGCTAAGTCCTACCATGTTGTAAGGGTTATATGTACATGCACCTGGCAAGGGATTGTATGTCTGTTCTCAAGAGTCAGCACAGATAAGTTTAGTGAAAATGACTTGTCAATAAATGATTGGTCAACATGTGACTAAGTTTTTTCAGCCACAGCAAGTTATGAAGACCATTGTTTAAGGCAAAGAGGGACCAGCATTAGCGTTTGTGGAATTACAAATCCTTGCAGCATCGAAGTTAGTAACAGGTGGTCATTTTAGTAAACAAAAAGAAATATTTAAGGTTGGAAAGAGATAATCCTTTCAGGAACTGGTTTACTCACCATTAGGATTGGTATTAAGATGATTAATGAGACATACAGCTTTCAAAAAATAAAAGTCAGTGTAGTTAATAGAATTGCTAGTTAACAGAATCCAATTTGTTTCCAAGGATGAGATCAGTTAGAAATGTCTCAATTAGTTTAGACAAGTAGCATCTGTCAGCTTACTGATGCAAAAATATAGGGTATTTTACACACAGAGTATAGAGATGAAAATTTAACTCAATGCAGTGGCAAATGTTTTATGAGGTTAGACAGCATGTAAGGCATGAGTTCTCATTTCTGCACAATGATGCCGTATCACCTCCAAATACAAACCAGCTACCATCAACCTGAGGAAAGGGAGTATTTGCAGAGTCCATACAAATGGATATCTGACTCACTTATTGGATAGTTTCTTTAGGATATGTCTGTAACCACCACCTAAAATTTTTCTCTCTCAGTTGCAAAGCTGAAAAATTACACATAGCACAAAAAAAGTTTGGTAAAAATATATTTAAAACAAGCAAGAAAAATATTTTTGGCTGTAAGGATCAGTTTCTTCATTTTGTCAACTGATAACATGTAAATTATATTTCAAATGATTCCAAGTACCAACTTATAAAAAGAGGTCATAAATCAGAAAACAAAGAGCAAAGGGACTGTTTTTTTTTCAGAAAATGTATTTGCAATTCCATTGTTCATATAAAAAGCATAAATTTTAAAAAGTTCGTATATGTTTTTAGAAGTGCTATGGTTTCACCATTCATTGCAGCTACATTCCAGAATGCTGTTTCAATGGTCCACAGTGCATTATCCTTACATTTTCATTACACTGAAGTCACTCTCATCACAACCTCCCCTGAGCTGTTATCTTCCGACAAGTCTTCATGGGGCCTCATTCGATTGAACAGGTGTAACAGTACATAGCCACACTGAAATCTCGGCGAGGTTAATTGTGTCGGATGAACTAAGTTTCTATTTCGCAAAGCTGTCAGCGGCAACCACAATGTCCTAGTCGCTGAAGACTCTCCTCGGCTACTTTCTTCTATATCTGTGGCTTTGTCGTAATTTAATACATCCCAGTGCAAATTAACTGCCCTCCAGCGCTTAAACACTCTGTAAACTGCTGCCCCTTCATGCACAATGAGACCTGAAATTGGGAAAAGAAAAGGCCAAGTTACAATACAGAATCTGGGAGCATGAGCTTAGTGGACAAACATGCAATTCAAGAACTGGTCAATTCTTTGTTCCCCAACCTGGCCAAGGAATAGAGTGTTCTACTTGGATAAATATTGGGGTTCATAGGAAATTTTCTTCTATACCATGAATAGATTACCACAAAGAATGACAATACAAAAAGATACATTTTACTAAAAATAGAATGAACTTAAGTTTGACTTTCTTTAATGTCTTAGAAGGCACTTTAGGATCTTTCCTCTCCTTTGGGTCATCATTATGAATGTGCAATGTCATTATATAACCTTAATTAACTAGAATGTTCTGGGAATATGAGCAGCCCTGCCTCCATTTTGCATCTGCTGCTCTGCCTGGTTTCAACCCCATGGAATAAGCTGCTCCTCCCAAGTTAAGCTCATTACTTCTAAATGTGCCACCTGGCTGCTAGCAAGCCCTGAATGACACCCCCTCCCCTCACCCTCTTCTCCCTTCTGAATGGAAGGTTACAAGGCAGGGTACCAAACTCCTCCCAATGCCTTCCTTGATAAAAGCCAGAAACCAGATTTTGGGGCTCACTCCACTCTGCACTTGCTGCTCTGCCTGGTTTCAACTCTATCGAACAAGATGTCCTAGGCTGGGTACCCACTGGTGTCCTGTCCATCTCACTCTTTCCTGCCTCCTTTTGTATGCTGTCTCCCCCTTTAGACTGTAAGCTCTTTGAGGGTAGGGTCTACCTTTCTTTTTATTAATTGTATCCCCAGTACTTAGCACAGCACCTGGCACACAGTAGGTGCTTAATAAATGTTTACTGGATTGACTTAGATTAGTCAGCCGAATAATCTAGTCACCTAAGAATCAATCAGATTTTTTTTTCAATTTCTGTTGTTGAAAATCTTTCTACAGTATATACTTTCCCGAAAGAATACGTACAACAGAGTGAACACAATTTAATCTTTCTTTGGTGAGTGAGAGTTTTGCTCATCTCACGGTTATCATTCTGAATATCTATTTTTCATTATGCAGAACCACAGCTATATGAGGGAAGGTAAAGGTAAACACTCTAAAGGAGAACCTAGTGACCTGGACTCTAGTCCTAACACAGTCTGTAACAATCTGCGCCATCTTGGGTAAGTAACTTAGACTCTCTATGTTCCAGTGTCCTCCTCTGTAAAAGAAGGGGCTTAGATTAGATATTCTCTCCGGGCCCTGCTAGTTTCAATGGTTCAATTCTTATGTACTAGTGCCAGCACAGATCCTGGAAGTAGCGCTATTGACTAAATCCCTCCTAGGAGCTTCCCCAAGGTTTGCTTCTATAGCCCAAGGGTAGAGTACAACACAATTACAAAATCCAACAAACATTTCCTGAGCATTCACTTCATGCAACTCATTGGTCAATGGTAAAAGATCAACATAAAATGTACTGTATAAGTGTTACTCTATGGAGATTTGTTGGAAAACGTGGACCAAAATCACATTGGATAAGAAAAGCATGGAGGGCGTACAATCTATCAATCGAGGGAGAACACGAATTGGTAAAATCTTAGACCTAGCAAAGGATTACAAGCAAAATGCTATGCTAACGGCATAAGAAATGTACTGAACCATACATGTGCAAAAATGCTGCATAGTAGAAATTTAGAGTTAAATAAGTTTTTATCATTCATGTCCACAAAAATCTATCAAATATCTATTTTATCAAAATATCCACAAATATCCCTTGCAAATGACTACGCTCCTTTCACAAACAATTAATTTAGGCATCAATCAAGCAATCAATCAACCTACAAGAACTTGTGTTTTTAAATGGCTACTATGTGCCAGATATTATACTAGTCACTGGGAATATAAAGAGAGACATGAAACAGTCCTGGCTCTATCCATTCTTGAGGTATAGTAGATATCAAGAGTATTATGAGTAAATATATCCTAGTAATCTCTCTAGGCTGCTAACTTGACACCAAAACACCGAGGTAAAAATTAAAGAATTCATTTAAACAGTAAGTCATGCCAAATAATTTTTAACTCACTTTATTTTACATCCAAGTAGTCAAAAAAAAAAATTAAACCAAATTGGCAAGATAATTCAGTGTCATAGAGAGAAAACCTGATTCAGGAGAACTGGCTTTTAATTGCTGGTTTTATGAATAGTTTACTGAATTACCCCTTAGAGTTATTTAACCTTTTGGGTTTAATTTGATCCTCACTAAAATGGCAGCTCTCATATGTGCCCTTTGTCTTGGTAATAAGGATAAATTAGAAGCCATCTGACTATAAGGCACAAAGGCAGAAACTACATAAATGCACAATGGTATTAATTTTTTTAAATCAATACAATGCAGTGAGGAATACTCACTCACATTTGACAAAATAATTACATCATGAAATAGACAGGTTCATTGTGGTACTTGCTATGATTAGGAATGATTCAATTGAAGACCCCCTCTGATTTTGTAGGACTCTATGATTTTCTATTGATCTCTTGGGCAAAGCCAAAAATCAGAACAATCATCCAAACTTTCAGTCACTTCTGGGGCTACATTTCCAGTAGTTCTTTTCTAAATATGCAAATCTATCAAATGATCAGCAATAAATCTCATAGGTCTTTAGAGTACATTTAAAAATTAATTTGAAAAGAATCTCCTACTTGAATCTCTCTTGAAGGCACAGTCCTCTTGAAATTCTGGGTCCATGTTGCCTCCCTTTAATTGCATTTTGAGATATTAGTGGTGTGTTTAGTTTTCACGAATACTTTCCATTAGCATAGAGATATAATCTTTGAACTCTAGAAACTTCTAATTTAGTAAAATAAGGTCCATGTCAAACATATAGTTTTTATCATTTCTTCCTTTTATGAGTTTTCTAAGTAATATTGTCAGAAAACATGGCATGACCCCTGTGACCTCTGAATTCCAAGGGACAGGATTCACTTCAATATAACTTCTAGAAAGAGAAACTGGTTTGTTTTTATTTTGTTTTGTTTTTCCAATAAAAAACATTAACAACATTGGTTACTGAGAAGTAAATCTCATGGGGGGGGAGCTTATGGTAGGAGAGAAATCACAATCTTTTTTGCCTTGTGTTTTCTGAACTTTTGTCATAACCACAGCTTAATGTCTGGTATAAGATATAGGTTGCACCGTGGGAAAATGGCAGCTACACCAATGTGGTGTTCTTCTCTTAAGATCACACATCTAGAAGCAGAAGGAACTTCAAAGGCCATCTAGTATAATCTTTCATGATGAGGAGAAATAGAGTTAATAAACTCATTAGAAAAAATTAAAGTTACACTACAACTTTTTTGTATTGTGCTTGCTATGTAATAGCATGAAAGACTCGCTAAGATTCTGCATACACTGTCCCCAACTTAAGAAGGGGATTTTATTGCCCTATAGAGTTTTCAATTCCATTATTCCCCTTTGGCCTCTCCTTGCCAATGCCATCTCATTTGATTATCCTGCTCACAGGTGTGAGTTAAGTCTGTCTAGAGAATCACATTTCAAAAACCAACACAACTTTAGCAGTAAATAAATCTATCATTCGAATAGCAAAAAAATAGCTTATTTATAAACTATCTGCACCCCAAATTATGGAACAAAGCATTTGGCAGTGAGATTGAGAGTCTCACACAAGAGCTAGAGATGAGATAATGACTAAACGGAAGGATGGGGGAGCAGCAGAGCATCATTTACATAAATTCATTTCACATTCCTAGCTCTCTGATTGTCACACACTGTGCTAAGGAGACAATCCAAATACACATAGAAAAAAAAACAGAATTTATTTTTTATTTCATCTGAACTTCTAACTTACTTGTTAACAGTATCATGGATAATATTACTTTATTTCAGTTTGGTTTAATAAATACTTTCCCAATATCAATAGCCTAGATATTTCTCAGAATCATATAAAATCAGAGCTGGAAAGACCTTTAATCTAGCACATGCCTTCATTTCCTAGGTGAGGAAACAGAGCACGGAGGCTAAGGATATTTCTAGTATCATGGAATAAGTTTCTTTCACATATTTGCTTGAAGACATTCAGAAGAATGATTATTACATGCTATTATTTATGTTTTAAAATTTCAACATATACAAAAAAACCCAACAACTTGTTTTATCTGCAGAATTTCTGATACGTGAGAAGAGAGAAGGCTGGCCTATCTACATAAGCACAACACAGAGTGATGAGAGCATCAGCTGTCACGTATAGCCTCTTCCAAGGTGATAGCTGTGCTGCAGCCACTGTCAAGTATTACATGGGCCACAAGCCCCTTAATGAAACCAAACACAAGCTGAAGCAATTTGAGAAAGAAGGACCCATGGGAAATCTAAGGAATTCTGAGCAACTGCAGACAATAAAAGGGCCCTTCTCTATGTAAGTACCCAGGACTTTTAGGTTCAGATTCGGATGTTAGATGTTCCCTTGCTGAGATGAAGAAGATGGTGTCTGTGCTACAAGTATGCACAGTGTAGGTCACCATTCCTAGCAATTTCATAAGTATCCATGCTACATATTTACTTAATATAGGTTAGTAGTAATAATAATAGTAATGTTTACATATAATGCTTTAAGCTTTGCAAAGCACTGTGCATGTACTAACTCATTTGATCTTCATAACAAACTTATGAGGTATTAGTATTAGAAAGCATTTTGAAAGCAGAAATATGAATCTATTTCATGGCTTAGCTGTGGAGACGAGGAAAATCACTTGGAGTCAGTCACATGTACCAGATCCCCATTAGACTCCTTCATTTCTGCTGAAGCGGTAAAACGCCAGAAGAGCCCCTATAAGTAGAGTGATATAAACTAAATAATAGACTTTGTTACCTGACAAGACATATACTACAATGTATGCATGCATTTTTTTTTTTCCTGAGAGATGGGAGTTTTTCCAGCGGATAATCTTACTCACCAGCACGTTTCATAGATAGAGCCTGTGTTTCCCATGGTCAAGTTGACTACCTCTCACCCTTT